CCCCAAAACCCCAAAACCCCAAAACCCCAAAACCCCAAAATTTACTTTGATATTGAACTAAAATTAACCTTTACTATATTCAGAAACTTGACTGCTAGCCCGATTCTCATATTTTTCAACCAAATAATCAATCTCTTCTCTCAACCTCTCATTATCCTCCTCAATCTGCTGAAGCTGCATGGATATTTTCTAACATCACAAAAGAACCCTTACCACATTCTGCTTATACTCCCTCTCCAACTTTCCTTCAAAATACTCCTTCTGACTTTTCGCGTCAACATCGACATCATATTCCTCAAACTTCACTGAAATTCTGTAAATCTACCTCTATCATCTCCAAAAGCGCACCTCTTTATCCCGTTCAGTCACCTCTTCCTTCAAAACTCTGATCTCTTCGTTCTTATCCTCCAGCATTTTCTCCTTGGTCTTAAGCATTTCTTGGATTTCTTCCAGGTCTTCGTGCAATTGGGCATTTTCTTCCTTAAGGAAGTTGGTTTCTTCTATGTTGGGGTGGAGGAGAGGGATGAGTGGGGGCTTACCTTCGAATTCTTGTTTCATGGCTGGGATTTCGTGGTCGATTTGGGATAGGATTTGGGATTTGGAGTAGAGTTGTTTTTGGAGGTCTGAAGGGTGAGGGGAGGGTACCTTGGCGTTCTTGTTGGGTTTTAGTGAGGTTTTGGTCGGTGAGGGAGATTCTATTAACCAAAATCTTATTATGCTGTTCCAAATCTCTCAGTCTCTGCTCCAAATCAGCAATTTGATTGTCCTGAGAGTTTGGCTTAGTGCTGACAACAGGAGCGGTTATTTGGGTTAGTTCTTTTTGAATGTATTCTATATGTCAGGAAAGTACTACTCTTTCACCAAGCAGTTCCTTTTATGATAGCATCTTTCTTTTCGATTTCAATAAAGGACTTGTCCAAGATTTCTGTGAGTTCTTTTATCTGAGCGGACTGCTTTGAAACTTTATTCTTTTCTTTTTCAAGAGATTCAGTCAATTTCTTAATTATATCTTTATTTTGCTCTTCTAACTCCTTAATCTTCCCATCCTTCACTCTTCCAACTTCTTCTAACTTAGCCTTATGCTCATTCTTCATATTCTCAATCTCTTCTTCCTGCCTCTTCTTCAGTTTCTCTTCAATGTCTTCATAAGTCTGTTTGAGGCATTCTAGCTTTGAACTATAATTAGTTTTAAGGACTTCAGCACAGTTTAGATTGGTCTTTTCAAGACTACTGACTTCTTTTTGGTGGGATTTGTCGATAAGGTCGAGCTTGGATTGGATCTCTTGTTGGAGAGAGTCGATTACAGTTGTCTTCTCGAGGATCATGTTTTTGTACCTGACTTCCCACTCTTGTTGAGAAGTGACTCATGATTGCTGCAAATGGGTTAGTTGTTGGCTTAGTGAGGCGGTCTCAGCCTGGAGCGCAGCTATTTGGCGATCTATGGGTGAGAAAGAGGCTACCTTTGGCAGGGATTGTTGAGCATTGTTGTTTGTAGGAGGCTAGTTCGGAAGTGAGGGGTTGGAGGTCAGTGGAGGTAGGGTCTGGAGGAGGGGAATTTGGAAGTGTCTGAATGGGTTTTGGAGTCTAAAGAAGGGGTTTTGGGAAGGAGGTTTACTGAGGATGGGTGTTCTTTTTGGGATTTTTTTAGCGATGAATTTATCTTTTTGAGGGCTTGAGTTTTGGAATTTGCTGATCTTAATGCTTCTAAAACTTCTAACAATTCTGATTCCAGTTGGGGACATTTAGTTCAACTTTTCACAACCCTTGAATGTTTAACAACTTTCGCTCCTTTCACTTTCTTATTCAACTTATTTATTCTTCATCAACAATTTTCTAATAATCTTATCTTTCTCTGTATCTACTCTCTCTTGCTCAAAGTCAAAATCAAGTTGTCGAATAGGAGGCGAGTCATTGTAGCTAGGAAGAGGGCAGGCAGGGTCTTGTACCTCCTCCCCTGCCTCAGCCACCTCCACTCCATCAATCCACTTAACCCCCACCTCTTTCACCTTCCTAAAATACCCTTCTGTCTTACACACAGGATTATCTGTCTTCCTCTTCAGGTCCCTGAACCTGACTTGGTTCAGATTTCTTAAGGATTTCAGATGCTCAATATCAGAAGTTTTAGTGACCAGGTTACCATCCAAATTAAGTTCCTCAATAGGAATATACACTCAATCTCTAAACTGACTCAAGTCCTTAATCCTATTATGCGACAGGTCAAGAGTCTTCAGAAATTTATAGTCACGAAGGTACGGGATTTTGGCAAGATCGTTACATGATAAGTTGAGCGTGACCAGGCAAGAGAGGTTGCGACCGTGGAAGGTGGACAGGTGGTTGAGGGAGAGGTCCAAGTGGGTGAGGTGAGGGAGTTTGGAGATACCTTCGGAAGAGGTCAGGTTGGAGCAGTGCCGGATTTTTAGGGTCCTGAGGGATTTATTTGGAGGGGATGTAGGGGAGGATGGAGGATATCTGGAGTGTTAGAGGGGGGTTACTTTTGTGATTGGTTTTGCGTAGAATTCGGCCTCGGTTTTGTTTATGTCTGAGTCAGCCTCGCTTATGTCTAGATCGGTTGGGAGAATGGTACCTTTAATTTGGTTCTTAGTATCGATATTATCAGAGTCTCTTTGGAAAGTATCTTCAGAGTAGTCTTCTTCATAAGCTTTTTCTATCTCAGTTTTAGGGTCCATTTTAAATTTAAAATTCTATATTTGTAAAATATTGAGGGGTTTTGGGGTTTTGGGGTTTTGGGGTTTTGGGG